ATTCTATGATTCTATGATTCATAAGGTCAAATAACTCTGCATATACTGATCCCTCAGTGTGGTCTATGTAACAGATAGTGTAAAGCCATCCGACAACCAGTAGCTCCTGTCGTAAAGTTAATCCATGCCCAACCTCTTTCGAACACATGGTGAAGTTCTAAAGGTACCTTGTTTTCAGTAGCATGCTTCTCTTTCTCGACTTTTGCAAGTGTTATTTCAAGGTCATCAATATCCTTCTTGAGCTCAGAGCACTCATCTTCCAATTTTCTCTTCTTAGAAGTCAGTTCAGAATTCATCTCTTCCTCATCCTCAACTCGCTCCGTCAGCTCTTTGACTTTGGCCTCCAGCTGAATCTTGGATTTAATCAACAAGTCGCATCGTTCCTCGGCATCTGCCAGAGTGTCTTGCTCCTGGTGTGGCACAAGGAAGAGGACAGCAATGACTACTTGGCTTTTTTTCTTCCTCCCTTACCCTCTAAATGGTCAGAGACCCTGATCCAACAATAGAGAGTAGTGTAAGGAAAATTTCCTACTCCTGATTTCAGAAGACAAGACCAACAATAATTAATAGAGCAGGGTGAGACAGTGGTGAGCAGGACTAGTCACATGTAAGACTACTTCCACATCTACCTGCCACAGACATTGCCTTGGACAGAACCTGTTAAGATTTGCATTGCTTGCCCACCTGGGTATATGCTAGAACATGAGAATGTCTATCTGCTCTAATTTTTGGCAAGACTCCAACAAGACCAACAACTTATTTTAGTTGAATTGCACTAACACTCTGGTTTGTAAACCCTTTGAGTTTCAAAGAACATCTAATAAATATATGAATACATGTGTCTACTCACAGCTTGGAGTTGGAGAAGCAAATCATTTTTTTCCTGAACTAAAGAGACTTGCTTTTCTTCAAGTTCCTTTCTCCTGGCTTCAGATTTTTCCAGGGCCTCCTTCAATTTCAGGAACTCTTCCTTCATATTGGCCATCTCCTTTTCAGTTTCTGCAGACTTCAGAAGAGGTTTGATCTTAAAGAAAAGCTTCATCCAGGGCCAGTTCTTCACGGCCATAAAAGCACGGATGTTCCACTGAATTACAAGAAGGGCATCCCTGGTTTAAGAAGAAAACAAACAAAATTCCCTGAAGTTTAGCCTGAATTGAGAAGGTGAGGGTTTTTTTATTTTATTCTCAGTCAGTTTTATGTCTTTGTTCTCAGTAATCTTAGGAACTTGTACTAGGATCCAAGATATACAAGAAACTTCCTCCATAACTCCTGATTTTCAGGGACATGTAAAATTTCCAAATCTGATTTTTACCAGAGCTGCAGGCAACTAATATACATTTGTTATTATTTTTATCGTGCATCTACTTTAAACCTTTAATGTAGGGTTAGCTGCTCTAGCCTGAGGGACTGTAATAATGGCTGTGATCAACATATAATTATATGATAATGACTATTATCTGCTAAGATTTAAGTGGGTGCCTTCATACCTCCGCTCCACTATCTTCTGGAACTCAATCCGCATCAGTCTGCCACGTGCTCTTGCCTGGATCATGGTTAAGATTTTCGCAAGTCTCTCATCCCTCATTTCTTCTAGATGGCCCAAGAGACCAGCCTTGAAGAACACCTTGGTACATGCACAGATGTCATTTCATCACGCTGAATTATTTTATTCAAGTTACACAGACTTCATTGAAATTGTTCAGAAGATTGGTATTTTTATTGACTCATTTTAAAGCAAAATAGTATAGGGGATCAAATACTATTTGCATCAGGGACTGCACTCCACAGTTCCAAAGCTGTTTCAAAATCAGGTCTCATCTCCCCAGTTTTGAATAGGCCAAACTATTTTATTGGCACATTTTTATTGCCACAGTACTTTTCAGCTGTGGCAGGGTTAAAGCAAGTCAGCTGAACCACAACTCACAACTCCCAGAAATCCCTGCTAAAGGGATTGTGTCATAATTGCACACGGCCTCATTTCAAAAGCCGTAGCTGATCTTGTGGCCCACATATGTTTGAGTGTACTTACACTATATTAAAGAAGCTATTGTTTCACTGGGGGGCATGGAGCATCAGCTGCTGCTGCGTCTGCTTGTAGTTAAGCTCTGATAAAAGCTTTGTGGGAGCTTGTGTCAGAGAAACAACATTCCTCCAGCACAACTTAAAATTAATATCACTTTGCTGCTATATTGCTGGTTCCTTTTATTAACAAATCTTCCTTAATTGCCACCACCAGAAATTCCATCATGTCCCATTCTGCAAAGCAGATATTACACCCATCACTTTTTACATGTGCAGTGATGGTCTTTTCTGGTTACCTTGGTGTGTCCGAAGCGATATTGGTTATGGTCAACATCTAAAGATGCCAACAGTTTTTCAGCAGCTTTTCTGCTATCCACAAACTTATCCTCTGGGATCGCTCCTGGATTCAGAATGCGGTACCTGTTAATAACAGATGAGTGATGAGTAAAATTGGCCTAGATTCTGCTTCACTCCCCGCCCCCCTTCTCCCAAAACTTAAAAAAAAAAATCACCTAGGGTAATTTTCTACTTTGCATCTACATAGGCACAAGGAAGAGCAGAACTCTGCTTTCCATGTTCAGGCAAACTGACTGGAAGATAAACTTGAATGGAATAAAATACGTCAAATAAGAATGAGAAGACATGCTTTGCTTATTCTGACTGAGGGGTTAGGACAGGAGACAACAGAGAACTGCATTACCTTTGTTTAAAGTCAGCATAAAGCACTCTGTTTGGGAAACCCTTACGGCAAATGCGGATGCCTTCCAGGACACCATTACAGCGGAGCTGATGCAAGACAAGGAAAGCATCCATTTCACCTAGGGGGGGAAAACAAGGCTAAATTAAACCAAACTTTTCCATAGGGCTTAGTCTTCATTTCACCCAGGGAATTGGAAAATGTGGGGTGTCATCTCCTGAAAGAACACCACCATCGGGTAAGGTGAACAACACAGTATTTAAACACAATCTGGTGACTTGGAACTAAGACATAGTCCAAATATACTAAAATGTTAAGACTGTTGTTTTTTCCATACCTGGAGTTTTTGATTCATTGGGGATAATGCATCGTACAAAGTGAGGGGCTGTAGATTTTAGGTTAGTCATCAGCTTATTTAAATTTTCCTAGAACAGACATATTAAAAACACAATTAGCTTTAGTGGTTTAATGGAATTCCAATCACTTATTTACTTGGTTTGTTGGTTGTTAAGTTTATTAAGGTCATTTCTCTAAATAGTCTCCAACAAAATCAGAAGCTTACAAAAATTATTGTGTTTTGATAAATTGAAGTACAAATCAACTTTATTATAGGAATCCACACCAATTTTTAGCAAAGTCTGAAGAAGACATGTTTTACTTACAACCACAGAGATGTCAGGAACAAGATGAACAGCAAGCAAGATGCTATATCATCCTGCAGAGCGTTGCTGTAAAGCTATCTGCATTTTTGCCTAGTCACTTCCCTGCTCAGTGAGGATAGTTCACCTTTCTCATCTGTTCCTTATAAAAGCTAGGTTTTTATCCTCCTGGCTAAACATTTGCCCGTTACTGATCTTAATCAGCCATCTCCCAGGCAGGCATAAGCTAGGTCGGAAGAAGCCAACCATTCAGTCCCTATTTTTTTTAAAGAGTGCTGTCTATTAAGCAGAAAATAGAGACCATTAGAGGTGGAACATAATGTCATCAGCACAACGGTTCAGGCTGAAAATTCCTCATAGGCCAGTCAGGGTGATAAATGAGACAACCTGAGCTGGGTACTTAGCAGCTCGCTGTGTGCTGGGAAGAGGGCTTCAATTTGTGGATTATTCAAGTACTGTCTGAGTGATCCTTCAGCTATCTTTGCACTTCTTCAGCTGGTAAGATACAGGTCTCAATGTCCCATTATTTCCCTTCATGAGGCGTACCTCCAGACAAGATAAAATGACATGACTAGTGGGAGATTTCTTACTTCCCTTCCTGAGGTTTACCTATATTACAGCTTCCTCAATGTTACCCAGAAGAAATTGTATTAATGGTAAATTACAGGTTCCATTTTTCCCCAGGGATGATCCCAGTGACAACTTCCACCAGAACATGCTAGTCTCAGTAGATGGGAATCACTCAGGCAAAAAGAGGCTGTATGACACTCCAGCCAACAACTTTTGTTTTCCATGACTGCTCTAACCCTAGGATCCAATTACAAACAGTAATCAGATAGGGACTAGCAAATTACTTGTAATCACTTCCTGCTCCACACACATGCATGAAGCAATAAGCCACAAAATAAGTGATAAAGGTTGCTCACAAGATTCTGTGATACTTTCTCAAACAGAATAAAAACATTTCATCTCCTGAATGCTCAAAGAAGATAAAATGGAGCAACCCCTCACGCATGTGGTTTTAATAACAATATATTCACTTAGCCAAGGGCAACAACCCAGGCCTAAAATCAAATTCTGATGTTGGATTTCAATATTTTTTTTTGTCCATTACAATCCTTAACAATCTGCTTCGAGGTGTTGTCTTAAACCACCAGGTGGGAAGAGGTAAACAAACCTTGTGTAATGAGGACACCGTTTGAAAAGAAGCACCTTTCTTGCGTTTCTTTTCTCCACCCTGGTCAGCTATGAGGGAAAAAAAAAGGAAGGAAGGAAAAATCACAATCTGTATCTCAGTGAGGGGTACAGGCAGGGCATGAGAGACAGACAAAACATTCTGATAGTGCAGCTCCCTTTGAATGAAAGACATAGCTAATGACCTGATGGCTCTGATTGTCCAAATATTACACAAAACATTCTGAACGTCACGTGCGATATATCGTAAGTTTGCAGCTCTCTGTCCATACTGGGGTTTTTGTCAAAGACTGTTGAAAGTTTTCTGGATTGCGTTTGCATTCCAGATCTACACAGCATCACTTGTTATGCAGAAAGTCCATAAATATGACAAAGGCAGAAAAATAACTTTTAACAAAATAGAGCCACTTGTAGTTAATTAAAAAGCCTACAGGGTGAGACGATGCAGGAAAGTAATGCTAAGGGAAAATTTATACTTTGCATTGTACTGTATAGACACTGATTCTCACATGTCTGCTATGAGGTGTGCAGGTCACATTTGTCCAGAATAGAAGGCAAGTATTTATTTTGTAATTTTAGATACAGTAGCTTTGCATCCCCAGAATGTTGCTTAAAACTTCAGAGTCAAAATCACTCATCCTCCAAAGGAATGCCTGCTTTGTTTCATGACCTTTCTGAAATTTCACAAGAGCTAAACATGACCCCAAAATGTACAGCAATTGCTGTAGCTTTCTAAACACTGGACCATTAGATCAGTCCCAGGAGGTCTGGCATCCTGTCACCTGTCAACAATAGTCAGCATAAAGGAAGAAGTGAAGAGTGCAATGTGCTTGATGCAATTATCCACAGCCTTTCCCCCTTTTGAAAGCGACACTGACGAGACTGGAAGAGGCTAATCTGAGCAGGCTGTTCTTTCCTCCTGACACAGAGGAAAAGCAAGGTAGCATTCTGACAAACAGGAATATCCACAGGCAAATAGGCAGTTAGTAACTTGCAAGAATTTGCTAGTGGCAGGATTTTTGCTATTGCCATTCAGCTCCGTTCCTTGTTCGCATTATGAAGTCTGCAGGCTGCTTGCTTCCTCAGAGAGCATCTTATGATTCGTGACAACAACATCTGTAGAAATGAGGTTACTAATAAATAGGCTGTAAGTGATTGCAACTTCAGGACAAAAGAGCTCCATCTTTGTAATGAATGCCAGTCTTACTTACTTAAGATCAATTTTCTGGATGCCTGCTACTTGTCTTCTCACAAATAGAACAGTTCTGCGTAAAGCATGCAGCTTAAATACGTTCTCAGACATACACTGGTCTTTGTCAAACAAAAAGGAAGATGTATTGGCAAAATCATCTACTTAGGCCAATGTGGAATGATGTTTGGGTACCTTCAGTGCTTACTTGCCACTAATCCAACAAAACATTCCAAAACTCTCTCTTCAACTTTGTGCTTCTGATTTAATGCAGGGTGGCTAGCAAGGAGGACTACAGCATGGAAAATAAGAACTGTTCATGCCTGTAGGCATTTATGTACAAAACTTTTTGTGCAACACTTGCTTGCATATCTGAACATCTGCATGCTCAAACTCCCACTGGAGTGTTCACAAGACACAGATTTCCTTGCCAAAATTGCTCGGAGATATTACGCATTCAAACTAGCTGAGTTAATGGCCTCCTTGGTATAACTGGCAGACTCCTACAGATGCTGTGCACATCTAAATAATTAGTCACTGCCTCATTTAGCATTGAGTCAGTTGCACTCGAGAGAGTTGTTTTGTTTCTTAAATTCATTCCCAAGCATGCATTCCAGAAACGAAAGAAAACCCATGTGAGCTGATTCCGCTTACCGCTGTCAGCGCCAACATAGCTCTCAAACAAGCTTGCCAGGAGTTTGTTGGATGATTTTTGGAAAATGCCTACTACCGTTTCATTAAGCGGGTCTTTGTTCTTCTCAAGCCACCCGATGATGTTATAGGGAACCTACAGCAAGGCATTGAAAACAAAACAGAAGTTGCAAATGTTACCCCCTCAGGGCTGCCCGTAGTTCTTGCTGGTTTGGCTTGAAGCCAAGGACCTTTTGTGAAGTGCTGCTCTCAGAGCAGTACCAGCCACCCGGTTTTTCATCACTTCCCCTCCAATTCTCTGCTTCCTAATTCCCAAAACACTCTTCCTAATAATTACCATTTGTATCCTGCACACCCCTTCCAAACTATCTGGTCCCTACACTTTCTCAGGGACTCCATGCGGTTGGCTGTAGGGAGAAGTCATCTGTGTCCCAGGAACCTACTAGTAAGTACTCACCTATAACTGCACAAGTAGTACTTTCACTTCAGGACAGCCTGCTACTCTGCCATAATCAAGATTTTATGACTAAAAATCTAACTCCTGGACTTTGCCACAGCTTGGTTTAGTGGGAAAATATGTTCCATTATTAGTACCACAAGGGGATAGAAACTCTGATTTTCTTTGCTGAATACATTAACAAATACACATAAAGAGCAAGATGGACATTCTTTCTCTTAATAAACACAAAATTAGCTTAAAGTTCAATTAAAATTTGAAATTAACAGCAGTGGGTAGGTTCCAGCTCTGCTGTGCTGAGGCTTCACATCAACTGTAGTTTGATAAAAAAAATTTCCTGTGTCCCTTTCAAATTCTTCCTGTCCATTGGGTCTGAAAACAGAGCTTTGAAACTGGTCAAGTTTTGGCTCAGGTATCACAGTAATGGATTGTATTCCTGCGCACCCCATCATCAGCCGACCTGTTAACTAAACCCTCACAGCAGAATTAACCCCACTTCCCTTTGCTACTTTCACACACTGGTCCTAATGTGAGTAAAAAGTGCTGTCAATTTTATTTATTTATTCTTTTACCCCTCCCTAAAAAGCTAGGCAGAAATTACTCAGTTCATTTCTACAGGGAACCAAGATGGAAAGTTAGATGCTGATGCTTTTTAATCACTAGTCTGAATTTGATTATAAGAAAAAGTGATAAAGGCAAGGCATATATTCAGCAAAAACATTATTAGCCTTCCCCAGTTTGTTTCATTTTATTTGTGTATCCAAGGACCAGATGTTTGGACTCTGGTGGCATCTTACGGTGTTGCAATACTTGCGCAGAGAGAGTAGAGATCTTTTACTCCTCACTGTTCCTTTCTTCCCTTCTTCATCCTTCCCACCCTCCTTCTTTGTGCACTAGGGGCCAAACCCTACCTGGAAGGCCTCTAATCCAAAGTCTGCCCATCAGCAGAGGAACTTACTGCACCAGCATAATGAAGAAGTTCAAAGTGAGCTTCATATTTCCTTTTCTTATCAGGCCTGGGCTTCTGTAAGTTAGGTGACTTGCCAAGATGATTGTCGTAGAGTTTGGCCTTGAATGTCATATCTGTAGCTTTCGGGAACATACATTCCTCTTCGAGGATAGAGAGGATCCCCAGTGGCTGTGGATTTAAGAACATCTTAGTTGGAAAATGCTTCGGCTGCCAGCTTTCAGAGGCTGAACAGCCTTTACGTTTGACCTGATGGAATTTCAAGCCTGCAAATTTTCTTCTCATACTGAGGAGGAAACCTCTGACTATTCTGTTAAAATAATAACTACACTTCTGACTATTCAGTATGTCACTTCTGCCTTAGGAGGCTTTATGATGACTTCCAGAAAAGCTTTGATTTGCCTTTCAAGACAGTTGAACCAACCACCATTTTATCATTCATCTCTCAGGAAAAGATGAAGCAACTTCCTAGCACTGGACAGATTGTTTGGGGGACTAGGATTATGTACAGATGTCCTACCCCTGGAGAAAAAAGTGATCAGGTAGAAGAGCACTTAATATCAGCCTTCCTACTCCAGCTGTTCTAAATGTCCTGTTAAACAAGACTCAAAATTTCATTTTTCATCACAGATCAGCAGGGTTAGATGCCATGCCACAGGAGATGGCAGAGAGAAAGACAGAGCAAGGGGCAGCTCTCACTCCCACGACCACACTACCCTCATAGAGAAGAGAAAAGGGAAAGTGTATCCCATGCTGGTGAAGCAGCGAGAGGGAAGCAAAGGACTTTGCACATCAATGTGTAACGTAAGAAACAGGAGCCTCATGTGGGAGAGGTACAGGGCAGTGACTGAAGCATAGCATTTGTCCTGAAAAGCTGACAAATAAGTTTGGAGTTAAGCATACGTGGAAGAAAGTAAATGGAAGAACAGTAGGGACAGAGAAGGACACAAGTGAAAACCCGAGAAGATTATACAGCCATACAAATTAGCAGCTACAGCTGGTGGTTACTGTTGGCTCTGTGAGGCAAACTCACAGAGGTAAAGCCAAGTGGCCACAATGCACAAATACCGATTTTCCTTTGATTCTGTATTGCATGTAGAAAGGTAAGAAACTTGTCCTGATCTTCATCCTACTCTGTTCACCGAGACTCGAGGATATCTCCAAGGGGTCATCATGAATACACCCAATTCAGTAAATGCACCTTAGCACTCCTGCACATACCTTCTCAATCAGATCAATACAGGCCTGCAGGTCCATGCCAAAATCAATGAAGACCCATTCAATGCCTTCCTTCTTATACTCTTCTTGCTCCAGCACAAACATGTGATGATTGAAAAACTGTTGCAGTTTCTCATTAGTGTAATTGATGCAGAGTTGCTCAAAGCTGTTAAACTGCAAAAGGAGATAAAGCATTTATGACACAGTTAACTATGGTAAGGGCTTGGTGGAACAGCAAGAAGGAAAAGGTTTACATCTAGAACCTTCTAAACAGTAACTCGTTGGGAAACTACTGAGCATAACACTGAAGGCAAAGGAGGAGGGAGTTGAGTAGCAGGCTGCTGGCTGCCTCATGTGCTGTCCTCCAGAGCGTGAGGGTGCCCGGATTTGTTCGGGTCTCTCAGGATGCATGTGCCTTTCCTTCGGAAGCATGCCACACCAGTCCTGTAACGCAGAGCCAACGCGTGCTTTGCTGCATACGGGGTGCAACTGGGAGCAGCAACAGCATTAAGCGCTTCTCTTCAGGAATGGGTTCTGAGAAACAGAAGTGTGATGTGCTTTTCTCACATACACTTGCTGACAGCGATGATAGAATGACAGAACAGCCCAGGCTGGAGGGGATCTCGAAAGGTCATCTGGCCCAACCTTTCAGAGGAGAGTGAGCCTGGATGAGATTGTCTAACACCCAGTGCAATCACATCTTAAAAACCTCCAGCGATGGGGACTCTGGGGAGGTCCCTGGGAAGGTTGTTCCAGTGAATGATTGTTCTCACTGTAAAAAATTTCTTTCTTATATAGAGATGAACACGTATCTCTTATATTGAGATACAAAAAAGAAATATCATACCCTCTGGAAGACGCTTTCTCTCAAAGAGAGAGAGTAGGAACAATACATTCTCCTAAAACACAGACCAAAGCATGTGAGATGTTGTATTTGCTGAAGGTTGCCAACCCTCTTCCTCCCCAGGAACTATTAGCATGTCCAGCTGTGCTAAATGCTGAGTGTTTTCTACATCTATTCATGGAAAAACCTTGTAAAATCATATACACCATTTTATTTACAGCTTTCTCAGCCCTCTGCCTTCTCTTCACTTAGAAAAAGAAATACGACCTAAGAGCTATTGCTTGGTACCTTTCATGTCCTTCCACCAAGTCCTCACACATTAATACTCACATCAAAGATTTCAAACCCGGCAATATCCAGGACTCCAATGAAGAACTGTCTTGGCAGCTTAGTGTCCAAGGTCTTATTGATACGGACCACCAGCCATTTGAACATTCGGTCATACACTGCCTTAGATAAGGCTCCAACAGCATACAAAACCTAAAACACAGGTTTGAAAATGCCACAGTGTGGAACAGAATCCACTGTGGAACATAAGGGCTTCAGGGCAGTAGCCTATTTCAATCCTTACTTACAGTTTAAATGTAATCTGACAATGGTTCTTATAATCAGCAAGGCATACTTAATGCAACACAGCTTCTCCCACTACCCATGCTGACTTTTCTTTAAATTGTTATGTATACGTATGTATACTAACACGTACATAAAGTGCTCGTAAGGTTCCTCTTAGGAAACAGCTGACAGCAAGCTGCAAATATTTTAATCCCTTACATTGCTGTGGAAGTTAGGCACCAGAAAGCTCACGGGTCAGACGCCAGCCACATTGTCCAGAGCTACTGCCAGAATAGGGGAGGTCTGTGCTCAAGTTTCTCATTGCCATCTGCTTCTAATTTTTGAGGGATGCTATGGCATAAGCAGGTGATAGGAAAAGTCTGTCAAAAGTCTCTTCTTTAGCCTATGCGCAACTACACCGATAAGACAGACCTCCCTCCAGCAGTTTTCAAGTTCCTGAGCCTGTACCACAGCCTGTCTTTAAACAACAAGTTTCATTGGAACCAAAATGCTGCAGCATCATCTACAATACAGCAACAGCTGCAGCAGTGCTAACCCAAGGACTTTTGTTTCCTAAATTAAGAGATACTTTTAAGTGGATATTGCCTTTAGCTGATTGAGGTCACACAGAGCTTAAAATTGCATGAATAATGAATAAGTGATGAGTGAATAAATAATCCATGGCTCAACTCTTCTAGGTAACTATTTTCATCCAGAATTAGATATCAATCCCCATGTGCTTTTACTGCACCTGGTTTCCTTGAGTGACTGCTAGTAACACATCAGGAAAAACAACCCCATCTAGGGAAGTGCCAGCCACTATTCCTTTGTGAGTCTTTTTACTGGTTTCCCACAGTTTCACTGTCATATCCCTCAAGTTTAGGGATATAAAATGAAAAGAGGTACTAGAAGTACCTGTTAATATTTTTAGCAGCTGTCTGCCTCTCTGAGCTGTTACAGATGGATTCTCAAGGCTTGTGGGACATCTCTTCAAATACCCTGAAAGCTTCTTACCTGTTCAACACTTTGACCTTTGGTCACATACTCGTTGCCGACTTTCACTCTAGGGTGCAACAAACCCTTAATCAAATCAGAGGAGTTGATTCCCATTAGGTAGGCAGCTTTGTCAGCACCTGATCATGAGAAACAAGGTTTCAGCTAGCTTTGAATTTCTACATGGAAACATGCTCAACCAAGAAAAAAATATTAAGTACATCCATTTCTAAAGAGAAACCTTGCTCTTCTAATGATTTGTGACATGTATGCCTGTACTCTCCCTTGTGGTAGAGAAGGTCATCTAGTTTCCTTACACCTCAATTGCTGTGAGAATCACGCTTGAGAAACACTTTAGGTATAGGGAAAATAACATATCTCCACACTGGTTATAGACAGTTTCAGGTGGGAGAGGAAGTAGAGAAGCAAGACCTGAAGACATGAAAGAGAAAGCTAAGACAACAACTTTTTTACAACCTTTTTGGTCACAAAAATGGAATTTCACTGGGTTATTCTGATTGTGTCTATTCACCTTCTACGAAACAAAGTTACCCACCATTGAGCGAGCCACTGCTGCAAATAAAGCACAGAACTCTTGGCTGAACAGGAGCTACGCTGTGCAAGGTCAAAGCAAACAGGCTGCTGCTCCATCAACACATGACACCTGCCAGACTTTTGAAGGTAAGGAGTAATGTTAGGTGTTATTCTTACTTTCAGTGCCATCAGCCTCTGCCTGCTCTTCTCTGGGTCTTTGTTTGAATTTCATGTTCCCAAAGTGCATGATGGCACCTGTGAGCTTGTAGGAACCAGACTTCTCATCTGGCACAAATCCCAAGATGTCCATGGCTTGCTGTGAAAAGGAAACACATGTTTTGTCACTTCTTTTTTCAAAAGCAATGGCATTTTGACACTCTGCAATCTACCTTTGCATGGCAGATATTACTAACCTGCCAAGGGGTGTTATCTTATACAGAAGCCATTGGAACACCCTGAAGACATGGCTGACAAAGAGGAGGAAAGCTCCCTTTATAATTTTGATACATAAAATGCTAGATAAGAACATTATGTCCATGGGCATTACATGGAGCAAGGCCTGTTTCAAAAGTATAATAGTTTATCAGGCCTCGTGCTTCATAGTATGAATGCAACTAAGGCCAACTTCTGCTTTCAATTTAGCCCAATAGTTTCAGTGACAGAAGTTAGGTTCCTGCCAGCAATTTTCCTCCCCACACGCACCTAATCTAGGAAGAACAAAGTCAAATCAATACAGGCTTACATCTGTTGCCAACAATTCTTCTCCATCATCCAAGTTGTCCACTGTAACTACTCCTTGTGAGCAAAAGTGGTAGTCATACGGGTTGGTCGATACCAGTAGCATATCTGTAAAAGAACTGCCAAGGTCAAAACCGCCACCATTCAGGGTATCCCAAAAAAAAGGGAGACTGAAAGCTCAACTCTGACATATAATTTTCTCTGCACTACCACATATAAAGTTTCTTTTTTTTTTTTTTACAACTGCAGGACAGCAACCAACTCTTTCATTCTGCTATTCCAGGCTGAAGACCAAGATTATGGAAATACTGCATACACATCTATTAAGCATATTTTGCAGTATATGGAGTTCATAGTTTCTTGTATAGCCCTACTCTGCCTTGCATACCTGTAGGAGTAAAAATCCCATCCAAGTACAGAAGAGAAGAAGATTTTAGTATGGCCCAAGACAGGGACAGTGGGCATCGTTCCCCTCTTTTATAACAGACTCACAAAACAGTAACTTCCAGGACTCTTTGGAGAAGACACTTGGCTCTTCATGAACAAAAGCCTGAATATGACACTCTCTCTCTCTTCTCTTTCCTCTTCCTTCACATCAACACCCGAAAATGTAGTGTGGTTTTCTAGAAAGCTAGCTGGCTGCAAAACTACAGGGAGTCCTGCTACCCTAAATCAACAGATAACCCACATTCAGCAGACCAAAGTTTCATCTAGATTTCAATCTTTTATATACATACAGACTGACCTTCAGGTCTAAATATGTATCTATGTAAATATATATATATGTGTGTCTATCAGTATTTGTATATTCTGATATACCGCTATATATAGCGGTATATCAGAATGTAACATATTCTTTGTAAGTCTTTGGTACTTTGCTATGGAGTCACTATGTTATATATTCATTTATCTACATTTGTATTTTTCTATATTTAGACTCGTCTATATTCAGATATGTATGTATTTGTATACAAACACATCCACTTCTTGTCTACAAAACAAGAAGCCCCTGTTGGTTTCAGCCTCTTCAAGAGCCTGCAGACATGATCCTACTGGCCAGAAAGGTGTGTGCTATTGTGGAGTAAACAGAGTTTATGAGAAAGACCATATTTTCCCAGCACAGGGATTCACACAGGAATCTCAGTGCAATGCTTCCTTGAAATCTTTCCCGTAATTGTCATTAATTAGGTCGCATAAAAGCTAAGAGGGTTAGGGACTTGACCACTGTCAGGATAATAAGACTTCAAAACAGATTATGATTGCTATGGCTGGGTAGGAGTTTAGTGAAGCAGCAAAGTGACTCTTCAATGTATTTTATAAAATGTGCTCCTTCAGAGCACAAATTACATTCAGCAAACCACATCACTAGTGAAGGTTTTATGCAAAGCATTAGGAGATGGGATCAGGGAGATCTCTTCTGCTCTCTGCTCTTCTCCAGCAGGTCTACAGGACTGCATTCGGCCAGGGGAAGCCTGAAGGGGGTAATCGCCTCATAATCAGCAGCAGGCAGCTTTGTGTACTGCCTCTGGCTACACAGCGTGCTAGGCTGGCAGTTTTGGCACTTTGGGCCGAAAGAGGAAACGAGCTTTTCTTCACGGACCTATAAGCAAATCTCATATATGAAAATCTGGATAATTAATGTTTTATCACCACACATACTTTTGGAGGTGTATTTTGCAGGTGTTTCGGGACCTTGGACTACACAAATTCAGCGTGACTTTTTTTGCTTTTATAATGCTATGTTTTAAAATGTCTGTCTCATTCCTTTAGACTAGCCTGTAATATCACTTCACTTTATAGGGTACCCACATCCGTATATCTCAGACAAATGGTCTCTGTTGCTGCTGATTAGAACAGCATCTTTGAAAGAGTATATTTGACAGTGGAAGTTCCATTTCATCAAGTGGAAGCGTAAGTGTCTTTCTGCACAGGGGTTTGCCCCCTGCTCCCGCCTCAGTCACTGGCTATTCAGCTAGAGGTTGGCTCTTAAAAGCTGTGGATCCACGTAATGCTTACCCAGTAACTCTGGTTTCTTTCCTGACAGGATTTGGTAGAAGATGTGATAGTCTCTTTCACCTGGTTGCTGGAAAATCACTCGGGATTTCTCCAATAAATCTAGTCTCACAAAAGAAAATTCAGTGAGAAAGGTACTCCAAGCTTTCAGATGAGCAATTGTATTTTTTAAAAGGAGAGAGTTTGCTGCTTACAAATCTCAATATCAGCAGATGACAGCTTGCCTGTGGTTCCAAAATGGATTCGGATAAATTTACCCTAATTCACACAGAAGAATATTCTAATTAGTGCATATAGTACACACAGAGGGAAACAAAGGACGCTGCTTGAAGGCAATCATTTGGCCAAAGAATCAGTTTATGCTAACTCCTTGGCTTTGCACAGGCAGGTTTTCAATGAGAAATATCAAAACAATGATGTTACACTTTTCCAAGCCTAAATCTGTACACACAGCTATGTAATCAGCTTGTGGGGAAAGGATAAGAGAGTACTTATCTGCCAGGCTAAGACAGGGGAATGCACACAGCTTCCCATTTCATGATGCACATTACTGTCATGCAGGACTCAGAGCAATAAGCCTGGGCATGAGACACACAGGCTTATGTTTTGACTCTTCCTCCTTTGTAGTTCAAACTTACATTCAACTCCTTACATCAGAAGGGTTCTCTCATTTTACAGTGCTTTGCCCATTAAATTTGCATATTCAAGCCCCCCAATTAATAAAAATCTAGTAGTTTTCATTTAATTTATCACATTCAAACACATCAACTTTTTAAAATATGTAATTTTTGTTCCAGCTGACAAACTCCTCATACAGTTGTGCAGCTTTCTACAGATGCTTACAACCTCTGCCCCTCTCTGCCCCTTCCAATTTCCATTTTAAACAGGATTTGTTAGGGAAGCACAGACTACAAACTCAGGCTGTCATCATCATGCATTCCTTTTGGACCTCTGAGGTAACGTCAACCAGATGTGGCAGGGGCAGAGCTCCCAAGGGGATCGCTCTCCTGCAAGCCTAATGGAAGTGAGGAGAGGCTCAGGGTCATGTCAGCACTGAGAGACAAGTAGAGGCGGCTTACTCAGCCAAAAAGATAAGAGATGGTATGGACCAAAGGTAGATGTGTGGGTCTGCAGCGGGGGAAGATGTGGGAGGGAGCAGGGACTGTGGTGTATTCCTGAGTCTTAGTGGCAAAGCAGAGCTGTGACAGGGAGAAGGGGATGGCTTAGGCTAGTGGAAACACAGTAGGGAAATAAGGCTATGCAGCAGAGGCAGTCCTGGGGAAGATCTGCCCCTGCTGTTCAAAGGGCTTCATAAAGCTCAGCTTTGCTTGTCTCCTGATCATGTACAGTTTAAACAACTATTCAGGGTGGATCTTCCTTTGTTTATCTTTAATCCTTTCGGTAGTAGTTCCTAGTTAGATCCTACTTTGTTATTCTTCCACTGTGTGGAAATCCAACCATTTTAGCAGACAGAATGAGACGCAGCTTATGAAGGGACTATTACAGAGATGCTATTAAGTGGCCATTGTTGAAGAGGACATCATTGTTATGTTACAGACTTACAAAACGTGAGGAGTTGTCGTTTCTCAGAGTTTTGGCATTTCCAAAAGCTTCTAGGGCTGGGTTTGCTTGAATGATTTGATCCTCCAAGGTTCCCTAGAAATCAAGGTTGAAATACTATTGAGAAACCTGCAGGCCACATACTCAGCCGTTAACCATAACTCAGCCACGCATTCACTTATAGAGAGAAGCTTCCATAGCAAAGTGATGGAGCTCCACCCCAGGGGTGTGAGCACAGTGCAAACAGCCGAACAGCAAGATCGTCAGTCAGAGTGCTTAAAAGGCCTCACGCATTCTGCTGCTCTCTACGGTGTCGCTTCGTAGATTTGATATTTTATGCCATCTGCATGCGAAAGAAATCACCGTATCTTCCCAGGTACTGGGAAGCATGTGGGGACATCCAAGTAAAGTGTGTAGGAGAAAGGGCTATTGAAGACAGTGACGAGCACTAAAATGCATTAGATTTGAAAGCACTCAGAGCTTGTAATATTTGGGATTTTTGGAGGTGAGAAAAGCATTAACTGTCACTTGCACAAACTTCACTTTGCTAAAGCAAACAACTTTAACTGCCTGGGCTCCCGGGATCCTTCACTGGGAGAGCCACGCAAAGTGAAATGCTGAGGTTCGTGACACAGACGGACAGAGCCCAGAACCATTTTCTCATGGGAAAGATAAAAGAGCAAAGCTGATGACTTACCCCAGTTTTGGTAGCTGGTTGCTGTCAATAGAGGAACACAAAGGAGGAAAATACACCCAAAAAAAAAAAAAAAAGAGAGAAGAGAGAATGTGAGTACTAACATGGAGAACATCACAAAAGATAAAGATGAACAAGGTGAGATGTCTAGTGGGCACCAACACACCAGCAGGACTTTTTGAAACCTTCCTTCAAAAAGCACATGCGACTGTTACGTTGCGTTACCATACATCACAAAATAGCCAAGTGCTGTTCCTACCCAACCTGTTGTTTTAACCCCTGCTCCAACCAACTACCTGGTTTTGTTCTGGAGATGTTTCACACTGAAGCCAAAAGGCTAACTAGCTGGCCAGAGAAAAGAGACTGGTGCCAGATGGTGGGAATAAAAGGATGTTAATGCAAACAGACAAGATTTAGACAATTAGGTCATGCTGGACTTGAACCCTGGGTTTATTTGAGAAAAAAAATAAGGGTGATGATCATGAAAATAAAATGTGACCCGAGCTGATAAGTTACGCTAAATATCTTCCAGCTACAGTATCCGTTATTGGCACACTTGTTCCATGAGCACACCAGGTTTCAGACACCATGATGAGCACCAATCCCATTGCAATCAGAAAGCTGGCTCTGGATCACTCCATCATTTGTTAAGAGAACCCCGTAGGCCTCAAATGAATGTGTATTAGGTTTTGGTGATGTCGGTTATGCATACAGACTCCAAGCCTGCCTGAAATTTTGGCCTTATAAATACAGTTCATAGGAGTCAGTTAATTTACCACGAAAGAGCACTGAGCCTTCAAGTGCAATGAAGCTTGTAGTGAATAAGCTCATAGCAACTCAAGATAAAAAGCAGCATGAATACAGTATTCACTGTAACCTTAGAGAGCCCTTATAAGCACAACAGCACTTATCCAAAGAGAAATACAGAAGAGCTGATTGAAAAAAAAAATCTTTTGTCAAAACATTCCATTTCTGTGGACAAAAAAGCTTTCAACAAGACAGACATTTTGATGAGAAATGATAATCCTAGTCCTTTTGAAGACTATTTTCCATGTGAAAAAAGTAAAATTCCTTAATCTTCACAGTCTCCCTATCACTTGACCAGCTTTAACATGATCAGAAACATATTTAACACAGACAAAAAAATATAACTCCTAGAAAAAAGCAGCAGCAACAAGCAGATGTTCAGAACCAGGAGTGGGTTTGCTGCTCTGTCTGGAGCGTTGCAAGTTCAGGAGAGCACTGCCTTTCTACCTTCAGAACAACATGATCTCAGTAATGCCGTGTAGAAGCATCAGTATCTTTTCCCAACGGGTTCTTTTCTTAACCGTGACTGTTGAGGTCTAGCACACGGTCTGCTGTTTGGGACGCAGTCTTGTGAGGTTAGTTGTACACAACAGAAAACCCTTGGGAGTCTGAAATGAAACAGCCACCAGCAGACTTACGTTCTTTTTACCAGGTTCACCCAGGGCTGCCACCGTGGCAAAGTACTGGATGACGCGTTTCGTGTTGACGGTCTTGCCAGCACCGGATTCTCCACTAAAGGAAGGAGGAAGACAACATAGGCATTGCTCAAACAGCTGTAACATCTTTTCACCCTCCTGTTCTTCCAGCCCCTCCCCGCGCACAGGCTGTTCTCAGAATCACTGACTGTTTCCTGCAGCCTGCTGTTTGGGTATTTCAGTGGAAAATGCATTAAATTGACTGAATGAAGAGGCGAATGCCCACAATAGCAGCAACTGATTCTTCACGTGACTGGGCTCAGAAATCTAGTACAAATGCCTGCTACACTGAGCTTCCTTTAAGGGCATGAAGTTGGATTACAAACATCCAGACTGGGATCTGGGGTATACCTATATACAGCTAATGAATTAGAAAACATACAGAAGAGTTGCAATAATTTGCTGGCATTATGCAGGAGCACATGTAAACTGCACAGAGACACACCCAACTCTCCATCTTTCATGCTTGCCAGTAAATGAGGTGCCTCTTCTTTTCTGCCTTGGTCCCTCCTTTAGATGTATCTACACAACATTCTTAAACATAATTTGCAGCAAGACCAAACACATTGAAAAGGAGGAGTCTTTTATGTCCAAAGAGGGTGGCCACAGCAAGGCTAACCCTGGAAGAAGCTACTTGATGCCTGATGAGCATTTTTCCATGCCTACTTGGAATGAACACCCAGATGGGAATCAGAAATGGGCCAGTCTCCATCAAACCCTTGGCTACTCCTTTCCCATGGGGCTCAGTGCAGCCATCAGATGGCTAAATTGCCAGTTACTTGGCTTGGATTGAGTTCCGGGCAATTTAGCTGAGCTTTCAAGGGTCAACTTGTATTTTAGTAGCATTTTTTTCTTCTAAGCTTTTTGCAGCGACAGAGTCTCAAATCAGTCAAAAAAGAAGCACTTACGTGATCAGCATAGACTGATTCTCACGGTCTGTGGAGGGAAAAAGAAAAAAAAGAGACACATTTAGGAGGATGTACAAATTGCTTATTATAATTGCAAATGAGTACCAACTATTCCAGAATCATTCCTGTGAAGCCAAGAGAGAATCACATGAAGAAATGGAAAAATAAAACCCAGCATCACCTAGTCTGACCTCCAGCAGTGCAAGTTCCAGCCCTGCCTTGAATCCCGCTCTCAAGTTTTGTTCAAGTCGGTATTAAAGACCTGTCAGTCATGTACATTTCTCCTGTGTCTGGGAAACTATAATAAAGAAAGTAATTTCCTGCCATCAGAATGTTTCTTGCCTTCCTCCTGAGCATGACTTTGCTCACATCCGATCCTTCTGCTCCTGCAGTACTAGACCAACCCAAGTAATGTTGCTGTTTGTTCAAGGCCATTGGCCATGCTGCTGGAATGAAGTTTTACAGTGCTCCCACTGTTAATGGCCTGACCAGAAATAACCATTTATTAAAACACTTTGCAACCTTAATATATTATTAAGCAAGTTCAGCAAATGCTAAATCATAGAAGCTTCCCAAGCCCTTCAGTCTAAATTCCTCTTTTCTTTTTTTAATTCTCGTCACCATGGGAGGCTACATACCATGCAGCCTGGCCATATTTCACCCTTATCTATCAGATAAAGAGCACCTCTCTGTAGCCACGCACATCCCCCTCTACCCAGCGCCTCGGGTCCCCTCACAGCTGTGGCACTTCCCATTCTATTAAACACAGGTGACAGCAGGATGTCTTCCCACCAAGTCTCCTTGGGATTTACCCTGCCGCCTTGTAGGACCTGGTGTGAGCACATCACTGCTGCCCTCTGCTGATAAACTCTTTTTTTTTCAGTAACTTGAGGGTCAGGGTGAGAAAATTTCACGTGAAAATCTGGAGTTCATTGGCACCCACGCCCACGGCAGGTTTGTGCAAGCGGTGTGTGTCCAGCACCCTTGCTAGCCGCCCTTCCTTAACCTTTGAGTGCACACATCTTAGGAGCATTAGAATACTGAGCATAAACTGAGAGTAAGCTTATTTTTGACGCTGGGAAAATATTTACAGACCACTGGGGCACGGCCCCGTTTCTGTTACAAACTGATGGATCCACCCAATTCAAACAGCTAAATTTGTGCACTTTACAGATAATCCATAAATAGAGCTTATTGTTATCAAAAGTACCACAGGGAGAGTCAAGGGAGCTTAAAAAAAATATATATACGTATAAAAAACTGACACACACTGCCAAGTCCTTGTTGCTTGCAGAGCATTTGCACATTTGTTGCACGCTGCAAAAGCTCACACAAGCTTCCATCCGCTAAAAAAAGCAACACCAAATTTGAAAGCAAACAGTGCCACTTACTACGCAGCATGTCATGGTAGGCGTTATCGGCAATGGAGAAGATGTGGGGAGGAGCCTCCGAGCGCCTCTTGCCTTTGTACGCAGCAACGACCTCCGGCTTGTAGACAGGCAACCACTTGTAGGGATTTATGGTCACACAGAATAAACCTGAATAGGTCTAGAGAGGAACACAAAATAAGAGGGAAAAAATAAATGCTCAAGGAAAAAGAAAAAAAAGTCTTAGTTAACCAAGCAGGACCTGATGTTGCCAGCTTCTGAGTTTGAATTCTGACTTGAATTTCAGCCTTTAATCTCAATTTCTAAAGCTACTGGTCTGCTAAGTGACTTCCTGTTGGCAACTGATACCAAAACTACAGATACTAACCAGCAAGAGGGGAAATTATTTTCAAGATGCCAACCAGAAACAGCCCCTTCAGCAAAACAAAGGAGCAACAAATAGCCCTGTGTCTGATTTTCTGCCTTGCTACCCCACGAGAGTTTTTTCCTCTTGGAAACAGTCATTATGAAGGAAAGAAAAGTTACAGCTTTCCTGTTTGAATGGCATTTTTAGGTGGAGAAACAAACTTCCATTATTAATTCGGTGTGAGCACCGTGGGGCAATTTCTGGTGGGTGTTCAAAGAGAAACCAACTTCATAGTGTTATTCCCCAAAGCTGTGGAGTTTTTATTCAGCTTTTGGAGAAACACAGTTGGTAAAAGCTATCTTTATAGTCACTCTTTGGGGCATCTACATCAGCTAGCTGGGGCCTGGTCATTGTGCGAGAGAACGAATTTTCAGTTATAACCCCAGGGAATCGGTGTTAGCTGGTAACCTTTCAGGAACTTAGTCCAGGTTGAAGTAAAAATCTTCAGAGAAACCCAGTAAATACATGGGCACAAGCATGATGTGCACACGGATTAATGAGCTCGGTTACAGTCTACAAGTTTCAGGTGAAATCCAGGTGTCTTCCCCTAAAAATATCATTAAGATCTGCTCCAGAAAGGCCTTGGCATGAGTCCTCAGTCCTATTTTATACAAGGAAAAGGAAAACCCCAACGAGTAAATGGATTAAGGCAAGATGACAAATTTAATTTTCTACCTGTACTGATCTGCAAGCAAAGCATATATGTCCATATAGGGGTCATTAGAGAAATGCAGATGATGTTTACCAATCAGAATTCAAATGTGAAAAAGTTGGATTTGTTCCTGTGATGAACACCAAAAACCCAAACAGGGATTGGCTAGAAAATTTATAGATCCCCCTGACTGATTTCCGAAACAATTACTCTCAGTTTGCTGCATTCAGAAGTTTGGCCTTACAAAATTAGATGCTACCGAAGCTTGTTCTAGTGCTGACAGAAATTATGTTAATGATGTCATGGGGAAGAGGCCAGAGTGAAACAAGACAGATGTCAGCGCTGAAAATGAAGGGAATAAAATTACTGAACTAAAGATAGAAAGGCACATACTTAAAAGAAGTTGTGTGTGTGCTCTAAGCTTGAGGCATTGTTTCTTAACAAGGAAATCTCCATGGCTGGTACTGACATGGATTAATATTAGGAGAGGAAAAAGCAACTAGGTCTCCCCGAAGCCTTGATTGCTGAAATTATGTCCCATGACACCCCCCTCCTAGGAAAGCAAGCAAAACCAGAGAACTAGACACCATCTGATCCATTCAGTTTTGTTTGTCTGTATTCAAACACCAGCCAGCTCCACGCAACTATTTCCTGAAAAGATGAGCAAGACCCTCAGTTTTGTGACTTACCAAAGTTGTAAACCGAATATGAGGAACACAACACGTTCAAAACATGAAATCTGCCCTTGAAATGCAGATTTCTAAATAAAGCCTTGTAACAACCCTTACATAGATCATCCAGTTGCTGTAGCGCTTTCTCAGATTGTACAACACAGATGCCTCGTTCAGATGGGTCAGCATAGCCATGTCCTCAATCATGTCAAATTTGGGAGGGTTCATTGACTGCACATCATCTTCTTTAATAGTCATGGTCTGCAATGACAAACAAGTACAGCAACACTGGAAAACACTGGGATTTTCTGCTGCTTCACACACCTTATAGGAGAACACAATTCCTGTAGAGGGAAGTCCTTCAGCTCAGCTCCAGGTAGTCACTGTCCCTGGAGATGTTCAAGGAACGTGTAGACATGGAGCTTGAGGCCATGGTCTAGTGGGTATGGCAGTGCTGGGTTGGTGGTTGGACTGGATGATCTTATAGGTCTTTTCCAACCTCAGTGATTCTGTGAAACCCAGCCTATGTATGTAATACCGCATGTTGTCACAGCTACCCCAGATGATAAATGAAGGAGCGTGGTAGCATGGCTGTGAAAGGAGCCATGGGATTTAGCAACAGCCTGGTATTTTACCTCTGGAGTCCAAACGAGAATGGGCTGGTTGTAAGCCTCACCTCACTGCTGCTGTGTGGGGATTGATACTCGTTGACTCACCATCGCATTGCTGGTTTTCCCTTATGTCAGTCTGATATGGCATCAGATATGGGGCTTCCCACTCACAGCTCATTTCATGAAACAGGCAACTGAGCTTAAACCAGGACAGGTAATTCCTGGAGCTTGCTGATCCAGCCTTGTTAGTCACAGATCAGACAAGACCAGTTTTATACCTTTCCATCCATTGTCTCCACAGTCACTTTGCCACCACTGGTTTCTGTAATTTCAGCTTCAACGTAAGCTTTCTTTTCATCAGGAACCCAACATTTCTTCTTCCCTGTGAAATGAAGGAGATGAAGGGTTCACAGCCTTGCGTCAGACAGTAACACCATGCCTCGCTAAGCGAGGCTACTACCGGGTTACTTTTTCCGCACAAGCAACACAAAACCTCTGGGACCGCAGCAGACCCACAGCGCTGGGGAGCTGCCTGCCAAAGCAGAAGGCGTAGGGCTCCCAAATGTAGTCTCCCCTTTGAAACTACCACTTGGCTTCCTCTAGATCCTTCCAGCACAAGGTGTCAAAATATTTCACAAGTGCTGGCTAAGCCTCAGCCTTCACGGGAAACCCATAATCATTATCACCAGTGTGCAGATGGAGGAACTGAGAGCCAAGCCCAAATTAAGGTGTTTGCTAAAAAGTCACACAGAAAATTGCCATCTGAGCGAGGAATTCAGCCCACATTTTTTGCCTGCCAGCTATCAGATTTAACCTCATTCCTGCACATTCTTCTGAGGTTTGTACTGAAAACCAGCCATATTAATAACGCATGTTGGGTTATGTGTGTGGCTTTTTAAAAGTTTGGAGTAGCGGCACCAGACTTTAGTTACAGCAACTATTCTGAATAGCAAAAAGCTGTGGCTATCAGTGTATTTATACTTAGTACTACACCTCAGGGCTCACAGAAATCCATTTTATTGAAAACAAATTATGGAAAAATATAAGCTACCATCAGATTGTCATACAGCCAGCAAATGAAACAGAGGTACAGGTAGAATGTAAAGAGCCACAGAATCTCCCTCATTACAGGAATATGAATGCATGGTGGTTTTCTTTCAAATGGACAAAGAAGTGATCCTCCCTTTAGCAGAGCAGCACAAAAACCATTCCAAACTTACCATAAATTGTTAGATTATTTCCATTTAGTACTACCTGGGGGCTTTTTATAGCTTTGCAGAAGAAAGAAACTTAGTTGAACGAGCCACCTCAAACAGCAGGGACAACAGAGGTTTTACATCCTGCTTTGCTCTGCATTCCCACAACTACACTTGGATGTAACCCTTATCCTGCTTAACCAGCCACTGGCAGTGCAAAGGATACCACAACTCACCATCAAAGGCAACGGTTTGTGCCATCATCAGCTCCTTCTCGCTCTTTCGGAGGAAGGGAGCAGCCTCCCCGAATTCCGACATGTCCATCATCTTGGCAAGGTTTCAAGGTGGCACAGCTCAAAGAGGAAAAAGGAAGAGACCTAGTCTAGGAAAGAAAGGCGGGGGGGGAAATTCTTTTTCTTGCATGATCTGAGGCAATACAAAACACTCTGCACCATGTGGCTGATAAAAGTGATTAATTTGAAATGCAAATACCTAACACAGGTTTGGGGCTATACTGCACCCTTAGTTAAACCCTTCCCTGTCCCAGTTTATTTAAAGCCAGGCAGATCTGTGGTTCAAAACCCCAACACAGGTCACAGCTATCTCCACGGAAGAATTTAATCTCCTCTCTGTGGCATGAATGGTGCTTAAGAGCAGGAGATCGAACAGACCACTTGGAGCTGTGGTTTTGAAAGCCACTTAGCAGGGGCCTGTTCTGGCCCCTTTCAAATTCTCCTGGAGCAGCCGTGTGCTCTCCAACATGTCTGCCTGGGGCCCTGCCACTCGCCCACTTACAGCGTCGTCTCCGGCAGGCGTTTTCTGGAAACTGCAGAGCACGACTTCACGCATGCAGGGGGAGAACTGCATCAAGGGTGCGCGTTACACCCTCGCTGCAGCTCCAGGGACGTATGCCCATGCTTGTGCTGGAGAAAGCCAGCACTGGAGTTGGAAACGGCTCTGCTACCTGCAGCTCCTCTGCTCGAGCGAATTGGCGTGGTTTAGGAAAACGAGGACTAACACCGCTCGAAGAGGTCCTGTGCTGGTGCCGCTTCCCAAGTGGCTGGCGTTGCCAAATTCACCCCCTTGGGTATCCACCTGCAGCAAGGCACAGCAGAGGGCAAGCGTATCTGCAGTATTGCTGCAAGGGCTTTGTAGTTTTTTAAGACTGATTTTCTAGTCCAGCTTAATACCTAGACTTGTTTTCTCAGTGTTTAGGAATCTCATATCATGAAAGAGAGGGCAGGGGACATGAGCATGAGACCGATTTGCTGGGTTTATACTGCGAAGTGCTAAGGAGCTACTTGGTTATCCCAGGGCAGTCTTATTTTTATTGTTTGGAAAACATAACCAGCTGCAGTCAGCTGCACTTTATGGAAGGAAAACTTTTTAAATGCTGCATGTTGTTTTTAGAAAAATTAGTCTGGAAACAGCTATTTCCTGCCTATATCCATCTACTCAGCTATATTTATGTTTAAAGATTCAAAACTTTACAAATGGGACAAAGAAACATCCTACAGAACGACACTGAAACTGCTGGCTTTTTACTAGGAATTAATTTGATTCTTACGTATTCTCTAAAGTAATCATAGAAATACAGTTTTATTTATATATATACACACACATACATATAAATAGTGACATGCACACAGGATGTGCAATACTCAGGGTAGTGTCCAGAGAATGTCTAAGAGAAATTCCACTGCCAAGGCCTCCACACACACACAGTTTAAGAATTGTAGATTTTTTTTTTCTTTCAAGTCAGGATATCATCTGATTACTCTCTGAACCTGCTCAAACCACACTCAGACATTACCTCTTCCCTTATTTCATTTACTCTGCAGTATCCAGAACAGCTGGATGAATTTTCAAAAGCCTGCTCAAGACAGACACTGTAGTCTTTCGAAGTGTAATCTGATTTCTTTTTAACAGAGGCCTTGGATAAAAACTCCACATCAATCAAGGCAGTTTCTTTCCCCAACACATTTCTCCTGGTGAATGTGAAGCCCTAGAACAGCAGAGCTGCCAAGCATTCTACATTCAGCCGCTGCCGCAGTACAAGCTCGAGACCTTCTGTCTTGTTGCTGCAGAGCAAAAACTTTCTTCCTCAGAACTAGACTTAACTTTTTTTTCCTTTTTAAAGATTAAGGGCCTACATAAGCACAACTACCGCCGATTATTTTAACATCACCTGAGCTGACCAAAATTCCCAACTGGAGACACAACGCCAAACTAGCACGGCGAAGTCCCTCTCCCGCGGGGAGCGCCCAACTGGAGACACAACGCCAAACTTCAACTACGGTGAAGTCCCTCTCCCGCGGGGAGCATGTCTCAGCTCAGGTGGAGCAATGGAATTACATCAGTTCATACGTTTAAACAGAGCAGTGTTAGAGCATGTAAGTGTCATTTCACATTAAACGTGCAGATGCCGGAGGAGCCACTCCATTGTTAAACTCTAGGACTCAGGACAGCTTCTCACAAGTCCTAATATACACTGAAGCACTCTAAACCACTTCTGTGCAACCTAGCTCCATCTGCAGACCTCTTAGGGACAGTTACTCAGTTATCACCTTCTCATCTAATTTTGTTTTTTCCATATATATTGAGAACCAACCACTATTCTCTCCAGCTGGGAAAGAATCCCTTGTTCTTCAGCAGTCTCACATGCTTGGAATTACAACCGGTCAGAGCCCAGGCAGCGCACACCTTGCTGGTGCAGAGAACTCAGTGAGGCAAATCCGTTGCCGGATACAAGAAATTGGAAGTGCTGTTTGGTTTATGGTCATAGAATTATTTTTATAAGGCAATATAGTCAAGAAAGACAAGGCAGAGCTAAGACGTTCGCTTTCCTTTTGGTCTGTTCTGGCTGGTAACAACAGCCAACCCTCCTATATGATCCTTGAAAACACCTACTCCCTGTAGAAAGACAATATGGTTACAAAGTTAAGTGGCATGCCCAGGACCACCAACAATTTGGTGGTGCCTTCAGGCTTGGAAAGGCAGGACCTCGTCTCTCCTTGCTGGGGCTGTTGGAAGAGCTCCTGCAGTTGTAACGGCTCATCCACAATAGAAACAACAGCAGGCATCACTTGCCTTCGAAAGGGAACCCCGTATTTCTCCAACGGTTGTAACTCAGGTTGGATTAAAGAACTCCTTGGACCAATGAGCTGCTTAAAACTACGAGCTGCATAAGCCATCACCTCTTGCAGGTGATAGAGAAGACAGAGAATATGACTTGCAGGTACTGGCTAATCAGTCCATCTAGACGCACAATTACAAGGGACATGTCACTTCCCTGAGCAGTTATTCTGGCTGGTTGAACGAATGCACTGATGCTAGAGAAGAACCATGTATGTGCCATCCTTGCATTCAAGCAGCATCACAGGATGACTAACATCGTGCTAAATGTTTAGTGATATTACTACTAAAGCCTTAAGCCACACGTAAGCCTTAGTCACCTCAAACCCACGGCACGGTGTTAGAGCGCAGCTGGCTACCCGCGTTTAGAAGTGAGAGAGGTTGGTACTCACCCTGGAGAGCACACAGAAAGTGTCACAACTCCGCCTGGTCCAGACTTTATATGCCCTCTATCTCAAGGTTACTGGTGATAACTGTTTAAAGGCATCAGCAGTTTTCCTCCATGCCTATATTTGTCCGCCGGATCCCGGGTGAGGAGACAATGCGGGGACACGTGTGGCAAAGGGAGGGGGGCAGGAATGTCAGCGGGGAGCGGCATGCTCCTCGCCGGGCGCCCCTCACCGCACCATTCTTGCTCCATGACTTCATGGAAGAAGCTTTTCCCATCTCTTTGTTTTCACAGGGGCAAGTATTACTTTTCCCAGTGCCTCAGAACTTAATTACCACGGGCTTGGGTGTGTGAAAACTAAGACTATTCAGATGTAACTCCCCTAGAAAATAAAAATCAAAGCCTCTTGCACAAGGTACGTGCAATTTTAAAGGGACTTTGGTTATGTGAACCAACTGCCTTCAAGCAACAAAGAATATGAGTTTGCACATCCCAAACTCCTTAAATGCCTTTCTTACTCTCCAGAAGATAAAAGAGGCTCAGGTTTGGGATACACAGGTATTGCCCAGTTTATGAGTAAGGCAAGAGAGTGATGAAACATAAGAATATATTGATTCTGCCTGGAAAGTGAATCACAGATAATGAAGAAAGTAGGTACCAATTTTAATGAGATCTCTGCCTCAGGAAACTCATTTATGAGACCAAGTTCAGGCAATGTCTGGCCTTCTTATCACAAACTAATTTTTCCTGTAAAACAAGAACCATAAGTAACTCAGGTCTCATTTCACTTCAACCCGTAAATAGCAAAACAACTGACATCCAGACCAATTTGCTTTTACCAGCATGGGTAAATATATAGGTTTCCCCTGGTTCTAGTCTAAACTGAATATAATAGCACATAGAAAAATAAATATTGTGGGTAATGCTTGCTGACCACAGGGAAGGCAATATATTAGGGCTTTAGAAAATTCAATTCCAAATAAGCAAAATGAAGCCAGAAGGGAGCTTATCCACAGCTTCATCAAATTCTTTGATACCCGCAGGAGCAAGTGGCTTGGTTTGTGACCAGGCAAGAAGAAAAATGTTTGCATACTGAGTCTGCTATTTTTAAAGCTGTTGTCCTGATGACTGGGCAGCAACAGGTTGCCTAGACAAAGTAGGTTTTTAAGAAACAGAGGGATTTATGGAAGCAATAGACTCAAGGATGGAAGATTGATGTGGCAGGTCTGAGGATCCAAGTGTTTTAGTCACTGGGTATTTTTAGCATTTGGGGAATGCAACCAAGAGACAGAGAATTACTACTGCTTTGCTAGAGCCATGCCCACCTCCAGACAGGCTTAAGTTGAGGAGAGAGCCCTTTGCTAAAGCTGGAGGCGAGGCTTTCGGTCCTGGTCTGGGTACCTGCGTGAAAGTAAGCGGCGCTGGAGCTGGAAACAGCAGCATGTGCCATGCTCCAGTGCTCGACTGGCTGTCGTGCTCTTCTTGCTTGTTTCCTTAAACCAGAAGCGCTTCCCACCCTTCCGCTTTAGAGGTGCTTGGTGCCCTGCAGCATAGTTGTATGTTGATGTCAGACCTAACTCATACAATCTGTGCTTTACATGTGGCGAAAAAGAAATAGAGCTAGTGATTCTGGCCGCTTAGATGAACGGTGCGCGATTGTGTAAAGGTCAAGCAGATGCTCCTGATTGTGTAATTCGTAACCAGGTAAATTGTATGTATCACCCACATTTATGGATGCTGTTAATCTGCTGTGAAGACTGAAAATATGATTATTTCATGCCATGAGGGTATAATGCACCAAATACTGTCTCCCTCCTTCTCCTTTCTCACATTGCCAGTAGCTCTGCTTCTAAAC